AAGTCTTTAGTCTCCACAACATTCTTGACAAACTGGTTAGTCTGGAGGGAAAGCAAGTGACATCGACTTGAACTCAACTTCTACATTGAATGACTTAACGTTTGCCAGGACAACAGCTTCCCAGCCTGTATCAGTTCCCTTAAGCGTGTTATGTGTTTCATGAATGAATGTGAGCACTTGATGAACGAGCTTCTCTTGTAAAGTCATGTTAAACAACTGTTTCCTGTTAGTGGACGGGGGAATTAAACTTCATCAAAATAAGAACTAAATTTAAAAAATGCCAAGCCAGGTTACCTATAAAACATTAAAAAGATAATGTGGTCCTTTTATTAGGTTGTTATTTTCTTATTTTTCTTATGAGATAACTGTATGGGCGAACACCTTCAAAATTTTGGTTGTTTTTTAAAATGTCATTACTATTTTTTTTTTTTGCCTTTTTTTTACAACCCAAGTTAAGCAGAGTTTTTTTTTTATCCATTTATAAAACTGGATATTAAACTTATTTCATCTCATGAGATTTAATTGATGCCAATCTTTGTGTTGCTCTGAAAGGCTTATTGTCTTATAGATAAATAGATAGATACTTTATAGATCCCCGAGGGAAATTCAAAGCATTTAGAAATGTATTGAGAAACTTGAGAGTTGATAGACTCAAATAGTACTTTATTATTATTATTATTCAAATCATTGTCTCATGATCAAAAGCATTTTTACTCAGTACACAAACTGACACATGGCACGCCCCTAAAGATCATCTAGAAGTAACGAAAGCACCTGGCTGGGTCACAAAACCTGGCTGGGTCACAAAACCTGGCTGGGTCACAAAACCTTGGGGCTGCATCATCATCACTGGAGCAGGCTGTGTGGCAAAAACGGTTGTATTCTGCACATTGACAACAGTGGGAGTTTTTTTACGATGTTTTAGCTCTCGATGCATTTGACACCAGGAGCAATATCCGCAGAAACAAGCAACTGCGATGTCCTTACAGATGGAACCCTGCAGGAAAAAAACAAGGTGACAAAATATGAACCAGTGAGAAAATACAATATTGCTTTACTGTTACTCAACTTGTGGCATGAAATCCTGATGACATCAGCTCTGCATGCATCATACCTTGATACCATATCTGTTTCGCATTGCAACCCTCATTGACAGACCTGCAGGAGGCGCAAACAAAGGAATCCCACAGGCTGACAATATGGCGGGACCGCAGATGTCACATAATGGGAGACAATAGTTCTCTCCAAATCTCCCTGAGACAGTGCAGGCAAGGCAAGGAAAGCACCAGAAACCATAGCAACCTGAAGCAGAGCAATACAAACTCAATTATGCTGTTTGATACCATCAGAAATGACCTTTAATTGAAGAAACTCCAAATTTGACTTAAGTTATAAAAATTGATCCTTACAGGTGCTGACTTCCTCAAAGCAGTCACAGAGACCAGTTTCCCACTCCACCAGGGGTTGTGTTGCCATCTCTTGTTGGACAAATTAAACCACAGATAATAAACCTGTGAACACAAACATATTAGATGTTCAAGTTAAATCTGGCAGGAATTGGAGTACCAGTTAACTATAAGGTAATACGTTAAATATAAAATCAGAGGGACGCCTGCAGGCTAGTTCAGGCAGTCAACTCGAGCTGAACTGGTTTCACACTTGACATGCATCATTATCCACAATCACCTGACAACACACCCTTCCAATTAGCTGTCTATTTAAGTTGCATGATTCGGTTTGACTCTGATTGTTTGGGTATTACATGTGGTGTCCCTCAGGGGTTAGTGTTGGGCCCAATATTATTACTCTGACCTGCACTAGTATAGCAAGCTTCCTCAGCCCCACCACCACCCAGCATCCACCTGTAGGCTGTGTCTGGGGGTGTAAAGATATCATCCCATCCCATCCCATCATTTCTGCATGTAAATTAAAACTGAGGAGTGATTTGGTCGGAGCCTAGACGCCAAAACACAAACTATGTTCTACTGCAAAAATGACTTGATCGATACAAACGTGAGTTGTCTGACTAAATTGTTAATGTGATTTGATAGAACATATTTGATGTATAATATTGCTATTTTCATTAGTGACGACCCCTGACTGTGTCATTGCTCCTCCTGTTGCATTGTATCCCTTCCCACTCAGGTTGCCTTCAGGTAGTAAAAGGCAGAGCCACTTAATTGTATTCCTGGGCAGACTGGGCCTTAGTATTTATTTAAGCTGGCTTCTCTGTCTCTGGATGCATCCAAATCATACTGCACAAAACCTGGAAGTTAGTATCCATGCTGAAATGTTCAGTATACTGAGGCGTACCCAAAAATGCATACTGAATTACCTTAAGGGTTCAGTCGACTGAAAAGTACGCACTGCATACTGAACTGTGGCTTTTTGGATAGGGCCCATATCTCTCTCTCCTGTCAACACTAACTTTGGTTTGTGGTCTTTCTTTTGCCTCCACAACACCACACACATTCACCATTGCAAACACCACTGATTAACAGACGGCATATTCTTTTATGAGGATGTTTTGCTTTAGTTTTCAAAGAATTATTGCTTAAATAAGACTACAGTAAGACTGTGTGTTCTCCCAGTTTGTCCAGCTCACTGAGCCTGGGTTGTGACTGCGACAAAATACCGGCCATATTAGCTTGAAAATCTTTTATATAAACCTCCCAGTGCTTTGTTCAAGTTCAGTTACATGAATCATGATGACCCGTTCTTCTGTCACAAAACTTCTTTTTTTATCCCCAGAAGACCTAATAGTGCAGGAAATTATCGGAGCTCAGTAAACCGGGTTTTCCTTCTACTAATAAATCGTGACATTTCCAGGATGCTAAATACATTCTGAATAATTATTTTAGCACCATTGTTCAAAATAATTTGCACTTCATCCTCTTTGTTTAACAGAACTTTTGAAGCAGTGAGAGATACATTTACATATAAACAAATGTGTTAAATGAAGAGGTGACTGTTTGAAGAAAGGAGCATAATGGTATTGTTATTTATATAAACTCCACTTGCTGCTATCATTTTCTTATTTAAAAGTTCAGGTTTTCCTACTTTAGGGAACAAGGTACCACCTCAAATATTACAGTGGTTAAAAAAAATTAACCACCAGCTGGTTGTTGTATGTGGCTGCCTGCTTCAACATATCATAGTCTGTGGTGCAGAGGAGGCCCCCTCTGGCCATGCCCTTATCTGTTTCTGAACCGGTTTGGTGACTAGGTGAACCGGTTTGGTTCACCTTCCATTTTTTTCTACTTTAGAGAACAAGGTACCATGTTTAATAAATACAGCATATGGTGAATAAAAGAAAGCTCTTCCTCATAACTTGGAAATTCTCTGAATTGATGTGCAGGTTTAAGGTTTAATTTGGTGAAAAAAAAAGTGTCCAAGTACAACAGCACTGATACTTGATATGAGAATTTAATTAATAAGAAGTCCTGTTGAGAAGAATCGCCTGAGGCAAGTCTCATGAGCAGGGATACATAACGTGTGTAAAAGTGTTTTAACTTCTAGTTCATTTGACATTCACATAGAAATGAAATCCTCACTGAGATCTCGATCATTTTCACACACTTTGATACTTAAAAATGTTAAAATAAATGAAGACACTTAAAGTAAACATTTTATCCCCATGAAGCATCATCTTTAGTTTCCTAATCCCACACTCTGTCCCATTCTCAATAACATTAGCTGTAAAGACACAGTTTACCTGCAATACAAACTAACTTACATCATTGAGAGTTTACCCAGGATGCCCCTGTTTTTAACCAGAGGTCGGTTTTATCCTAAAAAAAAAGCGCCTTAAGGCTGTGTTACGAAGAAAAATAAAATCTTTATTTCAGTCATTATTCCTCAAGTTTTACTTTAAAAGCAATATCAGATCAACTTTTCATTGAACATTTGGGGTAAAAGTATTTTTAGAAGAACTCTGAGGTCTTACCTGAGTGAGTGGCACACCTGGTTGGCAGCTCTGAAGAGTAAATGAAACCTACAGGGATGTTACTGGATTAGGAGTGGCATCTCGGGCATCTCCGAAAAAATGCTGCTAAGCCTGAACCAATCAGCATGAAGAGAAGAAATGACAGTCGAAGACAGGCGCTAGATTATTTAAGATTTGTACTTAGATTTATTTTATTTTTTTTACTTGTTTATGTTAAAATTATGTTCTTAGTATCTTATTGTCATGTGATATGGCTCGAGGTCCTAATTTTAGAATTTGTCTTTGACATTTTTAGCTATTTATATGTTTTGTGAAAGAGAAGTCTTTAACTTACAGTTCTTTTATTTTCTCAGGTACTACAAATATCACATTTTAAATTACATTGGATTGGTGAATTTATAAATTAGTTAAGTCAAGTCACATTTATTTATTAAGCACATTTAAAAACAGCAACAGCTGACCAAAGTGCTGTACCATGCATTAAAGAAACAACATGAGTTCACAACATCCACAAGAAAGAGAGAAATATATACAGTATGTATTTATGTATACACATATAAAGAAAAGATATATAAAGAAAAAAAGAAAGCAACAAAGGGAACCTGAAAGAAATGAACTTGTCTCCATATATCTACGATTGTATCAACTTTTCTATATCCTACAACAACTTCCACTTCCTTCTCTTTCACCAACCGTCGTCCGTTGTTTTTTTAAAATGAAACTTTACTAACAATTGTCAACGCTCCGTCCCGATTTCACTCGTACAGTGTGAGCACGTCGATCTCAAGATCTGGTCGGACGTCGTAAACGATTCAGTCGTACAGTGTGAGCTGACATGCCACCCCGACTTTTGAACAATCGGGGAAGAATGGCACAGTGTGAGCCAGACTTAAGACTTCTCTTAATATGGCTGCAGCCTGACAGACTGGTGTCCTCACTCTTTAACTCCGTCATAACTTCAGCACTCTGTCAAATCTGACTCTTAACTTAATATTTCATAATTTCTGTCGTCTTCAGCGTGAATCCATATTATTCTTGGAGCACTTATCAGATATATTTTCCGTGCTTCATGCAGGGTCGTGGCATTAAGCTCCTGCAGCCGGTGAAGCCTCGTCAGCGTGCTTCAGACAGTGAGGACGAGGACGAAGGCTCCTCTGCAGCGATAGCACAGCTCAGTGTGGACGGCCTCAGCTCTCAGGAGGTGATGGGGGCTCAGGTGTTCCTGGATGAGAAGGGCTCCCTGCACTGGCCCGTTCTCTTCCTCTATCCAGAACACCAGCAGAGTGACTTCATCTCTGCCTTCTGTGAGAACAGCTGGTAAACTGCTCGTCTTCTTTTTACCTCAATTCATCTTGTTTGTTTGCATTTCTGTGCCTATTGTCACCAACATGTAGTCAGATCTTTTACAGCCAATCAGCCTATTTCAGAAGTTCTCATCTCTCTCTTTCATCTGACAAAATCTTCATGTATGCGTTACTTGTTTTAACAATCACCTTTTTTCTCTCTTGCTCCAGTTTTATGGATCACATCGCGGTCATGTTTGGAGAGGAACTTCCACCTTGGGATGCGGACAGAAAATACCACCCGCAAAACCTTCAGGTTTGTGTGTTCTGCCTTAATTTGATTGGTCCCTCATCGTAAATACTGCAAGACATGACATGAATTAAAGTGTTAAGACATTTACACAGCATCATCCTAGAGATGTCAACAGAAGGTGTAATTTTTCACTCTTCAGTTCTGAACCATGAAATTTGTGGAATCATCTTTTCCTTACAAACGATAGCAGGGGAACATGCTGAATTCATAAAAGAATATCAGTAAGAGTCAAATGTTTTATTTCACTACCAAACACAGGACAGTTTTCCTGATGATTAAAATAATAAGTACTTGATTTTCAATCCTAATCATCTATATTTGACTCTTTCCAGCTGTACTTTGAAGATGAAAGACGGAGACTCTCTACCAAGTCAACCCACAGACGTCGCTTTTGAAAGTGCTGCAGCATAAAAGGTACAGTCATGGAGTTAAAGTCAGGGCTGCTAACGTTTATCATTGTTGTTAGCATTGTTTACCTGCTGAGAATTTTGAATGTATTGTGCTCTTTTGTCGCTGTGTCTGAGTGTTTTCCTACCTTTAGATTAGTCTGTTTGGAATTTCATTTGAACCAATAAGGAAATGGGTCACCTGGGAAGTTCCCTCGTTGGCGGCTTGCTGTCTAAGTTTCCTTTAACGTACTTCTTTGACACTCATGGACATCCTTCTTTCACATCTTGCTTGTTGTTTTTGTTTTTGGTCAACAGGTTTTTTGTCAAAGGAGGAACTCCGAGCTTCATCGTTGTGGTGAACGGCTCACCTTTCACCAAACAGTTTTTAACAGGAAAGAAAACACAAGAACTGTAAAGACACAGGTCTCCAAATCCTGAACTTTGGAAACACCAGAGGACTCACTTTGTTCTTGAAAAAGAGACACCGGCAAGGCAAGCATGTATGTCTGTCTTTGCAGAGAGCAGTGCATGCTGTTCTACATTAAATATAAGTGTAAATGGTTACAACATGGACCATCGTGGATTTGTTGTTTTTTATTGACAGAAAAATAAATTTAAAACAGATTTAAAACAGAAGGATTTTTTTATTGAAGTGCTTAATCAGAGAAACTGAAATGACCAGAAATCAATTAAAGAGATAAAATCTACAAACTGAATGTTTACAAATTGATTGTAATTTCTGTCAGTGCTTTTAAAAAGAACACAAATATATAACATGAAAAACGACAAGAAACACCCAGAGCGCTCTTACTTCACATCAAAGACCTCAAAATTTAAATTTAGAGATTAAAGTCGTACATTTACGAGATTAAACTGAACATGGACAAACATGGAGCATCTTGTCCTAAAGGTTTCACTAATAAGGAAATAGGATACTTCCTTGTGTAGTCGGTAAAAACAGTTCAAGAGAAGTTTTCACTTCAACTTGCAAGACTTTGTTTATCTGTAAAATGATGAACAGGACACAAACTGGCTCTGCACATGAGACATTTCAACAAGGCAGACCGATAACAGACACAAATAGTTGTGTTGCTTACACAGATATGAAACTACACATGCTGTTGGCACATCATCATCTTCACATTGTCTTAAAATATCAGCACCCTGAAAAGATACTGAAAGAAACTGAAGAAAGAGCCACACTGACTTGGAGGAAGTTGTCTGCAGAGGAAAATACTTTAAGAGTTCTACTTTCATCATTTTGCGTATGCAGGCTGGTCTCGAACTCGTTAATTTACAAGATTATTCTCTTAAAAATGTTTTTTAGCGTGGCCCTAATCCAAAGTCTTTAGTCTCCACAACATTCTTGACAAACTGGTTAGTCTGGAGGGAAAGCAAGTGACATCGACTTGAACTCAACTTCTACATTGAATGACTTAACGTTTGCCAGGACAACAGCTTCCCAGCCTGGTATCAGTTCCCTTAAGCTATGTGTTTCATGAATTTAATGTGAGCACTTGATGAACGAGCTTCTCTTGTAAAGTCATGTTAAACAACTGTTTCCTGTTAGTGGACGGGGGAATTAAACTTCATCAAAATAAGAACTAAACTTAAAAAATGCCAAGCCAGGTTACCTATAAAACATTAAAAAGATAATGTGGTCCTTTTATTAGGTTGTTATTTTCTTATTTTTCTTATGAGATAACTGTATGGGCGAACACCTTCAAAATTTTGGTTGTTTTTCAAAATGTCATTACTATTTATTTTTTTTGCCTTTTTTTTACAACCCAAGTTAAGCAGAGTTTTTTTTTTATCCATTTATAAAACTGGATATTAAACTTATTTCATCTCATGAGATTTAATTGATGCCAATCTTTGTGTTGCTCTGAAAGGCTTATTGTCTTATAGATAAATAGATAGATACTTTATAGATCCCGAGGGAAATTCAAAGCATTTAGAAATTTATTGAGAAACTTGAGAGTTGATAGACTCAAATAGTACTTTATTATTATTATTATTCAAATCATTGTCTCGTGATCAAAAGCATTTTTACTCAGTACACAAACTGACACATGGCACGCCCTAAAGATCATCTAGAAGTAACGAAAGCACCTTGCTGGGTCACAAAACCTGGCTGGGTCACAAAACCTTGGGGCTGCATCATCATCACTGGAGCAGGCTGTGTGGCAAAAACGGTTGTATTCTGCACATTGACGACAGTGGGAGTTTTTTTACGATGTTTTAGCTCTCGATGCATTTGACACCAGGAGCAACATCCGCAGAAACAAGCAACTGCGATGTCCTTACAGATGGAACCCTGCAGGAAAAAAACAAGGTGACAAAATATGAACCAGTGTAAATTCAATGTTGCTTTACTGTTACTCAACTTGTGGCATGAAATCCTGATGACATCAGCTCTGCATGCATCATACCTTGATACCATATCTGTTTCGCATTGCAACCCTCATTGACAGACCTGCAGGAGGCGCAAACAAAGGAATCCCACAGGCTGACAATATGGCGGGACCGCAGATGTCACATAATGGGAGACAATAGTTCTCTCCAAATCTCCCTGAGACAGTGCAGGCAAGGCAAGGAAAGCACCAGAAACCATAGCAACCTGAAGCAGAGCAATACAAACTCAATTATGCTGTTTGATACCATCAGAAATGACCTTTAATTGAAGAAACTCCAAATTTGACTTAAGTTATAAAAATTGATCCTTACAGGTGCTGACTTCCTCAAAGCAGTCACAGAGACCAGTTTCCCACTCCACCAGGGGTTGTGTTGCCATCTCTTGTTGGACAAATTAAACCACAGATAATAAACCTGTGAACACAAACATATTAGATGTTCAAGTTAAACTGGCAGGAATTGGAGTACCAGTTAACTATAAGGTAATACGTTAAATATAAAATGAGAGGGACGCCTGCAGGCTAGTTCAGGCAGTCAACTCGAGCTGAACTGGTTTCACACTTGACATGCATCATTATCCACAATCACCTGACAACACACCCTTCCAATTAGCTGTCTATTTAAGTTGCACGATTCGGTTTGACTCTGATTGTTTGGGTATTACATGTGGTGTCCTTCAGGGGTTAGTGTTGGGCCCAATATTATTACTCTGACCTGCACTAGTATAGCAAGCTTCCTCAGCCCCACCACCACCCCAGCATCCACCTGTAGGCTGTGTCTGGGGGTGTAAAGATATCATCCCATCCCATCCCATCATTTCTGCATGTAAATTAAAACTGAGGAGTGATTTGGTCGGAGCCTAGACGCCAAAACACAAACTATGTTCTACTGCAAAAATGACTTGATCGATACAAACGTGAGTTGTCTGACTAAATTGTTAATGTGATTTGATAGAACATATTTGATGTATAATATTGCTATTTTCATTAGTGACGACCCCTGACTGTGTCATTGCTCCTCCTGTTGCATTGTATCCCTTCCCACTCAGGTTGCCTTCAGGTAGTAAAAGGCAGAGCCACTTAATTGTATTCCTGGGCAGACTGGGCCTTAGTATTTATTTAAGCTGGCTTCTCTGTCTCTGGATGCATCCAAACCATACTGCACAAAACCTGGAAGTTAGTATCCATGCTGAAATGTTCAGTATACTGAGGCGTACCCAAAAATGCATACTGAATTACCTTAAGGGTTCAGTCGACTGAAAAGTACGCACTGCATACTGAACTGTGGCTTTTTGGATAGGGCCCATATCTCTCTCTCCTGTCAACACTAACTTTGGTTTGTGGTCTTTCTTTTGCCTCCACAACACCACACACATTCACCATTGCAAACACCACTGATTAACAGACGGCATATTCTTTTATGAGGATGTTTGCTTTAGTTTTCAAAGAATTATTGCTTAAATAAGACTACAGTAAGACTGTGTGTTCTCCCAGTTTGTCCAGCTCACTGAGCCTGGGTTGTGACTGCGACAAAATACCGGCCATATTAGCTTGAAAATCTTTTATATAAACCTCCCAGTGCTTTGTTCAAGTTCAGTTACATGATCATGATGACCCGTTCTTCTGTCACAAAACTTCTTTTTTTATCCCCAGAAGACCTAATAGTGCAGGAAATTATCGGAGCTCAGTAAACCGGGTTTTCCTTCTACTAATAAATCGTGACATTTCCAGGATGCTAAATACATTCTGAATAATTATTTTAGCACCATTGTTCAAAATAATTTGCACTTCATCCTCTTTGTTTAACAGAACTTTTGAAGCAGTGAGAGATACATTTACATATAAACAAATGTGTTAAATGAAGAGGTGACTGTTTGAAGAAAGGAGCATAATGGTATTGTTATTTATATAAACTCCACTTGCTGCTATCATTTTCTTATTTAAAAGTTCAGGTTTTCCTACTTTAGGGAACAAGGTACCACCTCAAATATTACAGTGGTTAAAAAAATTAACCACCAGCTGGTTGTTGTATGTGGCTGCCTGCTTCAACATATCCTAGTCTGTGGTGCAGAGGAGGCCCCCTCTGGCCATGCCCTTATCTGTTTCTGAACCGGTTTGGTGACTAGGTGAACCGGTTTGGTTCACCTTCCATTTTTTTCTACTTTAGAGAACAAGGTACCATGTTTAATAAATACAGCATATGGTGAATAAAAGAAAGCTCTTCCTCATAACTTGGAAATTCTCTGAATTGATGTGCAGGTTTAAGGTTTAATTTGGTGAAAAAAAAGTGTCCAAGTACAACAGCACTGATACTTGATATGAGAATTTAATTAATAAGAAGTCCTGTTGAGAAGAATCGCCTGAGGCAAGTCTCATGAGCAGGGATACATAACGTGTGTAAAAGTGTTTTAACTTCTAGTTCATTTGACATTCACATAGAAATGAAATCCTCACTGAGATCTCGATCATTTTCACACACTTTGATACTTAAAAATGTTAAAATAAATGAAGACACTTAAAGTAAACATTTTATCCCCATGAAGCATCATCTTTAGTTTCCTAATCCCACACTCTGTCCCATTCTCAATAACATTAGCTGTAAAGACACAGTTTACCTGCAATACAAACTAACTTACATCATTGAGAGTTTACCCAGGATGCCCCTGTTTTTAACCAGAGGTCGGTTTTATCCTAAAAAAAAAGCGCCTTAAGGCTGTGTTACGAAGAAAAATAAAATCTTTATTTCAGTCTGTACAAACTTAACCTTTCATTATTCCTCAAGTTTTACTTTAAAAGCAATATCAGATCAACTTTTCATTGAACATTTGGGGTAAAAGTATTTTTAGAAGAACTCTGAGGTCTTACCTGAGTGAGTGGCACACCTGGTTGGCAGCTCTGAAGAGTAAATGAAACCTACAGGGATGTTACTGGATTAGGAGTGGCATCTCGGGCATCTCCGAAAAAATGCTGCTAAACCTGAACAATCAGCATGAAGAGAAGAAATGACAGTCG